ATTATGCTTAAATTATTAATAGGCTTAAATGATCCCTAATATAATATTTTAGATATACCGTAAATATAATTATAAACACAAATAAAATATATATTAATTTACTATGGTAGTATTTATAGTGAAAAACAAAAAACATTTTCCGGTGTGGGCGGGGTTTACCCCTCGCGATGGGTGGAGTTTCTGTCACGTGACCAGACAGCGTCCAGTTGGGTAATCATGGCGGCTGTGTCTGGATGTGAGCAGCAGATGTAACGTTTTTCACCGTAAACGATGTTGTTTGATTCTCTGCCCGGGCCATGAACCGGACGCCGGTGAGCAGAGGGACCGCAGCCCCGCATGGAGGCGTGAGGAAGAGGAGGACAGACGCCATGGATCAGGATGGCTCTGCTGGATGCTCGGACGCTCTGATTCCTGGTGACTGCTTTTGTCAACCAAGGCTCTAAATGGTATTTTTGATGTAGTTTATCATTTGCTGTGTTTTTTCATGCAGATCCTTGGTTAGATTAGGTCACCTTGTTCCATGTCCTGTTGCAGTGTGATCATGGCCAGTCTGAATGGACCCTCAGCTCTACTATGACTGTTAGTGCTTCTGCTGCTTCCCATGTCTCTCTCAGTAACAACACTATGATAGGCTCTCCAGATGTGGTAGCTTTCACTAAAGAGGATGAATATGGGCAGACCGTCCCAGAGCCTTTGGATCTCCCAGAGGAGTTCTCCATACCCCTCCACCCTGTGGCTGACTCCAACCCCTGGGCCAAAACCTCCTACGCCAAGTTCACCAAAGACTTCATCCTCATCTCAGAGTTCTCGGAGCAGGTGGGCCCCCAGCCTCTCCTCACCATCCCAGATGATCCGAAAGTCTGCGGCACCTTCGATCTCAACTACTTCTCCCTGCGGATCATGTCGGTGGACTACCAGGCCTCCTTCGTGGGGCATCCGCCTGGCAGCGGATATCCCAGACTCAGCTTTGTGGAGGACTCAAGGGTTGTTCTTGGGGACTCAAAGGAGGGGGCTTTTGCCTACGTCCATCACTTCACGCTGTACGACCTGGAGGCCAGGGGCTTTGTGCGGCCCTTCTGCATGGCGTATGTAGCGGCAGATGAGAAGAAAATAATGCTCCAGTTTCAGGAGCTGTCTCTGCGTTTTTCACAGGCCTCTGAGTGTCTGAAGGCTGGGAACAGAAGAGCCTTCGCCAAGGAACTCCAGAGGAAGCTCCAGGACCTGGAGTAAGAGACTACATTTTACCTACTGTCTGCTCCTAACTTTCTTTAAGCCAATCTTCAAAGGTCTAAATCTGGTTCTAGATAAGGTCAGAGGTCCAGATCAGTTAGTGGTGTGGTGAGGGTCATTATAAGTCATCTCTGTGAGATAAGGGAAGGTCATCTCTGCCACCTCTTTGCAGTAATGATATCTTCCATCTGGAACCCCCATCTGCAACTTTTCTAACCTAAAATTCTATATTTGTTTTTACAATTTTCAGTTTTTTTAAATGAATACCAACCTGGAAATTCAAAACAATGCCACCATATCTGCTTAATTATGTATCCTTCACTCTTTAGGTGTTTTAAATGTATTTATTCGGGCTGCAACTAACGATTACTTTGCAATTTGATTTTTTTTTTCGATTTATCGAATAATAATCGAATAGACTAAGATTTTTGAAGACGTTTTACAAAATTTAAACAAGCGAAACAAACTATTCTGCTTGAGCAGTTCTGGATAGAGCATATAGACAGATGAAAAAGTTTTTTAATCTTAGGTGCAAAAATATTTATGTATTTTTTTACAATATTGGTATAATTACTACTCTAAGTAGGTTGCTCTGTCAGCTATAGGCATGTTCTACAGTCTCAATACTCCAGTTAACAATGAATCAATAACTAAATTAGTTGATTGATTTCAAAAATCAATTAATCAGGATTAATCCGATTGTTTCAGCCCTAGTATTTGGTGAATGCAGAAAATGGTGACAAACACGTCTAAACTTCCTGCTTAATGCTTCCTAGAGTCAAATATTTCCTGAAATTTGCAAGTAGCAGAATTTAAATTCAATCTTCAATCTAAATGATTATTAGATTTAATCATAATTGGTCATTAAACCCCGTAACAATCTTTAAACAACGCTGATTAAAAACAGTTTTACATTTTATGTTTATTTCTTATTTTCAAACCTAAAACGCACTTCTCTGCACATTCAGCTACAAAAACTTCACCATAAACTCACCCTGCTCTGCTGAGGATCTGTTGCTAGCTTGGCTCCGTTTTGATTGGACTTGTTGATTTTGATTTTATTTTTTTCATTGATGAAAGATGGATTCAATTTACATCCTACAACAGAGAATTTAGGCCATACTAAGAGATGTGTTTTTTTTGTTATTGAAAGAAAATCATTAGATCTATGAAAAAAAAAGAATATTACTCAATTAAAGTCGTAACACTACAGCACTACAGCAATTTTTAATATAACAAGAATAATGCCATATTACAGAACTGAAGAGGTGGCCTACTTTATGTTAACAAGAAAGAGAAGGTAGATTACAGACAATGGAGTTCTTCATTATTGATTCAGAAAGGTTATTCTCCTGTTTAAAACATTCCTGGGTCAGAGGTCAATATGATCAAAGGAAAGGTTGAAAAAAAACCCCAAAACAAACAATGAGTAACTATGATAAGCAAATTTTATCTAATACAACTCCTAACCTCATAAGCCTGCAGGTAAGAGACAAACTCCTTATATTTTCTTTATAGACGGCCTCTGAGGAGTCAGATTATCTGCTGATATAGTAAACCCCCTAACAGAAAGATAAGTTTGATTAAATGAGGCTTGTTTGGAAAGATTGGAGAAAGTCCCTCTTTTTTTTTAAAGAGTATTGCTTTACATTTAGTTTTAAACAAACCCCCAAAATCTGCTGAGTGAAACCAAAGTGTTCCAGTTTGATTATAATTACCCAAATGTAGGATATCAGCACATAAGGAGAGTGGTGCTGGAGGGGTCACGGGCTCTGTGTATTGGGCTTGAATTGAGTCCACCAACCAAGTGTCAGATGTCAAGCTAAATATCTAACAGTAAAAGCACATTGGCACCTACAGCAACACAAACATGGAGAGTAGAAGAACCACACTGATGGTAGTTTTGTGATGCAGTGGATTTCTATCAACCGTCTTCACTGGAGACAGAAGAAATGTCAGAGAATGCCAGCAGCCATAACGATTCCTTGTTTTAGCTGCTGGCTTAGATAATACATTTGACTGGGTCCACATAGTGGATCTCATGGGGACCTTCAATATATATTTGAACTAGGAATGCACCGATCCGATATTTTTATCTGTATCGGTTCGGATATAAAGAAAAAAAACTAGGTCGATATCGGTGACAATTGACTCGATATACGGGCCGATCTATTTGTTCTAACTCTATGCTATGCTCTGCCATCATGCGGCAGCGCAACAACACAATGCGGCCATATTATTTATGATGGAGCTAGCATGTAATGGTGTACAGGCCAAAAAAATCAGATGGTACTTGATAATTTTAATGACACTTTTCTTTACATGTTGACCAAGTCAGAGAACTTTTGGTTTAAGATTTTGTGCACAGTTTTTAAATAAATGAGTCATAGCGTTTATATTCGGGTTGTTTCCTATTTTTTTTTAAGAACAGGGAAATTAAATCATATGCACATCATATGCACAAAAACATTTACTAGGTGATAATTCAGTGCTGTTTTTGGTATCCGTATCAGATCGGTATCGGCCAACATTAAACTTCAAATATCGGTATCGTATCGGAGGTGAAAAAAGTGGATCGGTGCGTCCCTAATTAGAACAGAACTCTCTTTTTTTAACAAAAAATTATTAACTTTCATACATAACCGTTGTGACACAAACTTAGCACCAAATCATTATTTTAGACTAGAAATACAAGGCATTCTCCTTTACGTCCAGTTTCAATGCGTTTCCTATAATTAAATAGTTTCTCTCGTCAAAATTGTTTTTTTTTTTTTTTTTAAATAACTTTAAGGTTAAGTAAGAAACGCAAAACTAATGTGAAATCATTATACTAGACTGGACAGATGATGCAGACCTTTTCAGTCTGATTTGAATTCAATTATCTTGACCGAGAAGCACTAAAATATCAGATGCAGTTACAAATTTGAACCTCTGTGGGATGTTTTTGTGTTTTTTAGGCATGATTTCAACTCACGTGCAATACATTTTCAAAATAAGGCCCGGGAGATATAGACGGCACTAAAAAACATCTACTTATGCAGTTTAGCAGCGAAGTAAACAAAAGGTTTTCAGCTGGGTGGTTCTTCAAGACTCATTTCATTACCTATAGAGTAAAATATACCAGGCTTTAAATTGGGTTCATTAGAAAAATAGGATTTCACATAAGATTTATAAAAAAGGATCATTTAAACCAGGATGTGTAATGGGCTTCAGATTAGGGATTACGCACACTAACACCTCGGTTATTAAGCAGGTTTTGGTACCTTTGACAGATCTTCGATGAATCTTAATTGCACAGAATATTTTTGTGATTTAAGTAGATGGGTTCAATCTTGCTAAAACCTCTGAATTTCTTTGATGTTTATGATGATTTAAAGTATTTAGTTCCTGAAAAAAAAAAAAAAAAACAACAAAGGATACTTTGAGAGCAGCTGAATTAGACGTCTCTCTGAATCTGTGTTGTTGTGCTCAGGTACACCCACTCTGTGCTGCAGCGGGAGGAGGGCCTGCAGAGAGAGGCGGGGCCACAGTGCGTTTACTCCGCCCACACTGTGGAGAAGGCCAATGAGCTCGCCAACGTAGAGAAGAGCATTTACGAACACAGGGACCTGCTGAAGCAGATCAGCGCCTACCATCGCCGCCCACGCCGGGATCCGCATGCCGTCTCGTGCCAGAAGTGTATGAGCGAGTGTTTGAGGGAGTGTGAGGAGCTGTTGGACAAATATGCCAAGCTAGCTAATCCCCTCAGTTACAGGGGAAGCGGGCGAGGTCTGTCTGTTGATGGCCGAGGGGAAGAAGGGGCGGATGAATTGGACGATGAGGTGATTAAACGCAGGCCATCGTACACGCCGCAGCTCATCAAAGCAAAGTCTGCCAAGTGTTTTGACAAACGCCTCAAGACCTTGCAAGAACTGTGTGAGGAGACCTTCTATGAGGCCACTGTGGAGCTTCTGAAAGAGACAGAGAGGAGTTTCCGCGGCGACCTGTGTTACCTCTACACCCGTCGCCTGGACAAGACACTGCGCAGGAAGCTGAACATCGTCAACTTCCTGTTTGAGGAAGACCTCAACGATAATATTGAGGATGAAGCCGAGACACTAAGACCGTTCTGTGCTGTGAATCATGCCATAGACAACTACATGCACTTAAACCCACCCCATATTACCCTGGGCTCAGAGGATCTTGAACTTGATGGTTTGAACCCTCAAGGTCCACAAGACACGGCGTGTGAAACCACCACTACCCAGGAGCTTGGACTTCTGGGAAGCCATCTGGAATCCTCTCCATCGGACCAGACCTTTGAGACACAGGAGAGCTCAGAAGGGACCAAAAGCTTCAGTAGCGACAAGAGTTTAACAGATCACGCAGAGAAACAGGAGAGCCTGGCGAGTGTTAATACAGAAGGTCCTGATCCGGACTCTGATCTGACACCAGAACCCGACCAAAACACTTACCCTGAGAGGGAGAGTAGTAGTGAGGACATGGAGACCACTGCTGGGGAGGATGACTGTGACTCTGGTCAGGACCAGACCCCCGTATCTTTGCTTGAGGTTGTGTCTGAGCTAGAGGCAAGAGACGGAGATGAGCGCGAGGCGGGAACTCGCTCAGACCTGCTGGTTCCCATGGACTCAGCCTGCTGTATGGCTCAGGACGGTTTCCTTTACCAGGCAACTGACTCTGATGCTGTGCTTTGCCTGAGTCCAAACTCCAACCCGAATCCCACTCAGTTTCTGGTGGTGAACCAGGAGCCCCATGCCCTCCAGCCTATCCAGGATGAGTACACAGTGGGGTCCTCCGGCTCACAGGGTCCAGCAGCAGGGCTGGAGCTTCCTGTTGGTCCCCTCGGCGATTCTGTTTCACGCACCTCCTTGGATGATGGTTCAGACTGTACAATGAGTGCTTCCACCGGCTCTGACCGGGCCGCCTCGCCGCTCGGCTACGGAGCGTCGGTGACCCTCCGCCAGAGGAAAAAAGCTGGTCAAGGGGCTTTAAGGTTTGTGCGGCAGTACTCATTTGCCACGCAAGCATTGTGGTGTCTGCTGAGCGGCAGGACGCTTGTGGTGCTCGGGGCGGACGAGGGGAGGGTCCGCCGCCTCGTGTCTGCTCTAGCTCTCTTCGTACCCAACCCTGGGAAGACCGGAGAGAGGGTTCAACCCTGGCTGTCCTGCCCCTTCACCCTCACCGACCTTCACAGGTGGAAACTTATCGGGCTGCAAAGGTAAACCTCTCATCTTAGACTGTAAAGCAGACGTACAGCGCTTTGTAAAATGTTTACAAACCTAGAAACTTAACATATTTCAACTTGAAACTCATTTATTTTTAGCATTATTAACAAAACATCTGCATTAAAGCCCTTTCACTCTGATACCCTTTAAACAACCCAGTGCATTGTGTTTTAGAGCAAAATTGCATTATAAAGGTGATGGAAACCAACAGAAAGGTCTGGGAGGAAGTTATTAAGAAGCAGGTTTAAGTTGTAAAACAATATCCCAAGCTTTGATAGTGCAGTGCTTCCAGAAAGTGTTTGCAACGCTACACATTACCGCCTTATTCCAAATATTCAATTAATTTCCTCCTTATTTCTACACACAATACTGCATTAAAACAATATATAAATTTTTTTTTTTCACCTGCAGAGAATGAATTGAAAATCTTAACTTGCAAATCTCCCTGACCTGAATCACAGCCCCAAATTGTAATAGATCTGATACCCTTTAGAATAAGGCTGTAACCTCTCTAAATAAGCACAAAGTGGCAAATACCTTCCAGATACACCGTGGAACAGAGAACTGTTCAATCCAAATACCGGTATTTGAAAAGTATGTATCTACAGCATGAACTGGAGGTGGTTACTCTTGGGGAGCTGCAGAGATCCAGATGTCTGATGCCAGAATCTAACAGCAGGAAAACTAGTAGAACTAGTAGCTCAGCACTGGTAAATCTGGTTTGATCAGGCCTTGTGCATAGAGAATTTTTGTCATTCCATTAAAAAAAGTCATGTTAATACTCTAAAATACCTTGCAAAAGCAAGTAATGTAAGCAACTTTAAAGCAACTTTATTTATTTATGCCTTGGGATTACTCCTTCAGGAAAATTCTGGTTCCTGTATCTTTATATAGAGTACAAAAGCAAGACGCTATTAAAGATACAAGAATACAACAGACAAAATATAAAGAGTGTATATAGTACAAAAAAACATAACAAAAAGTTGTAATGTCCTGGAATACCGGTATGTTTTCTTTTTATATAAAATTAACTGCAAAGTAAGGAAAGTGTTACTGCACAGTGAGAGAGAAGAATGTTGCACATGAGTGACAATATGTAATGTTTTGCATAAGATGTCCAAGGGGGTGTGGGGGGGTAGGGACCCTTGACCCTCTTCCCATCACCTCCTTCTTCCCAAAGTGAGGAGTTGTACAGCTGGATGTCATGAGGAACAAAGGAGTTCAGCAATCTGTTGGTCCTGCATTTTGGGAGGAGCAATCTCCCACTGATCCACAGCATGTTGTTTAATTTCTGAAAATAAATAACTGCCTTAACATTTTTCATTTTTGTAGCTACTCATTTGAATGCATGTTTGGCTCAAGCCATAGAGGGGCAAACATAGAAGAATATTTTGATATACAAAATGCTACTTATGGTCCAAAACTAATGCTGTACATCACCTGAACACAATATTCTCACCATCAAATACCACATTTGTAAACAAAAGACCTCTGTAATTTAACAGCGTGGAAGAGAAGTCTTCAAACCTGTATTCAAAACTGTCTGTCCTGCTGGTTTTAGGTATTTCCCTTACGTACCTGATTTAAATACATGGGTAAAAAAAAGATAAAGAAATAATGCAGTGATTCCATTAAGGTGTACTGGAGCAGAGAAGCATGAAAAACAGAATAAAGTAAATGCATATGTTTAGAACGGCCTAGTCTAAGTCCAATTTGAGTCTTTCCGACTGAGCCTGAGCTGTTTTACACTATTATGCAAAACTTTGTTTTGACCCATTTAATGCATACAAATATGTAGCTGTTTTCGGTCGTGTCTAAATGTCCGAAAGGTATCATAGGTCATTCTGGAAGAAAGCTGCAGAAAAACAAACGTCAAACTTGACTCAAAGATTTTGGAGTTCTTTGCAAAGTTCCTGCAAACGTGTTAAACAGAAATCTGACGATCTCATGGCGTTTGTAGCTCCAGTCACACCTCGCTCCACAGTTACTCATCTGCTCTGACTCAGTGAGCATGACTCACTCTGACAACCCTGCAGCTTCTCATCCACATCGGTGCATGAGCTTTTCTTTTCTGCTCAGCTTCTGTAAACAGAACCTTGACTTGTCAACAGGTTAAGACAGGAGAAGGTTATCCACTATAGATTTGAACATCTTTGCATCGCTATTGCTTGAATTTCCATTTAGCAAAAATCGTGATAAGGACAAAAGTAATGATGGAAAAATTCTCATCGCTTCTTCAGTCTTTCTCAGGTAACTGCATAGCTGCATACCAAAGCAATCATAGCTGCACTCATACTGCTGCTGATAACTATACAGATTTAAAATGGCCTTCTTCAGGACACCAGTTACATAAAGGAGTCTGATTTCTGTCACTGAACATCCAACAGTGACCACATTTAATTATATTTTTCAATTCTGTCAATCCCACAATGGAAAACAAAAAATACAAAGAAGTATTTAAACAATTAATACATTTATTAGGGGATTAAAAAAAAATTCTATTATAGAAATTCTTCATATAGAGGTTAAATCAAAATTCCTTTTACACGGGCAAACATGTTTTACCATAACGATAAATGATACGATAAATGCCCACCCCTACTAAGAAATCTAATCAGCACTGCTTCTAACAATTTAAAGTTTTTTTTGTTCTTTTTTAGTCACCTTTTTAAAAAATATTTTCTTGTTTTAATTAACTTTAAATGACCTAATAACATTAAAGATACAAATGTCTGGTAAATTGAAAATATGCTTCTCCCATCCTTTACATTAAACATCTGCATGCTAATATAATTCCTTATAAATATATTTCCCATGTGATCTAACATGCAAACTATTTATGCAGCTGAGAGGAGAATCTGAAGAAATATATTGTCGACAACAAACTCTGAATTACTGGAAATGAATAGCCTGTTCAGGAGATGTTTTTATGAGAATTTTACAGTAAACTTTAAGCTTAATGTGGGCCTTGATGTCATTATGTTTTGGGCTTTAGTGTTTTTTTATATAAAGAATCAAAAGTTAGACATTTAAATGTATCCATAGAGGGGAAATATAAACCTTATTATTGGGTAAAAGCTGCACTAAGCTAAATATTAGCCTCTGTTAGTTATAAAACCAGTTTTAATGGTTTTAACTTTATTCCATTTCAAATCCTTTTTGCAGTCACATCACCGTTTACCTTTTCCATGACCCGTCTGGTCCTGAGCACACTGAAGACCAGTTAAGCCAATAACAGTTGCTCCTTCAGATGAGACCAGCTCCCTCATTGGTTATTTTGTAATCCAGGTGTGGGAGTCTAATCAATGAGAGAGCTGGTTACATCTGAGGAGCAACTGTGATTGGTTTAACTGCTATGCAGTGTTCTCAGGGAGCATAAGGGTAAAAAAAAAGGTAAAGTAAAAAGAGACTATAACTGCAAAAAATGATTTCCAATAAAAGGTGAAAAATTAAATAGAAATATAATAGGATTTACCTCTTTAAATGTGGATTAGGTAAGGTATTCATAATCCGATTCATGAATTGTAGCGTTTTCGGTTTAGAGATGGGATTTGAAAATATATTTTTAAATTGTAGTATTTAATAATGGATTAATAAATACAATTTACCATTCCTCTTTAATAATTTGTTTTAGTTTACCTCAGGTTTCTTACTGTTAAAACAGAGTTTTTCCTCTCCACTATCGCTACAGGCATCCTTTGTGTGAGGGATTGCCTTCAAGTCAATGTGTCGATGCAATCCACTTGGTTTCCTTAGTTGAAAATTTTGAATCAGAATCTGACTGGATGATCTGATGAATTGCAATTTATTGTGAATTGGCGCCATATAAATAAACTGAACTGAATTGAATTTAAAATGTGCATTTGAAAAGTAAAGGGATTTCTAATTGTATGATTAGAAATCCATTTTCAGAGATTATCTTGATCTCCATAGAGAGCAACCCAGGTAAAGATCAGAGGATTAAAAGTCTGCTCAGAAATGTAACCATTACAACAATTTTGCTGTCACTATTAATAAATAAAATGAATAACTCCTATCATGGCGATGTTTATGGCTAGAAAAGGGATCTGAAAAAGGAAATTGGAAAAGAATATTTAATCCAGATTTATTTCAGGGTTATAAATTCTTCCTGAATAGAATAATCATCAACATCTCTTCCAGATGTTATTGTCTTCTTCTTCTTCTCCCACAGAGTTGCATCTCCAGCTGGCTCCAGCACCTTCTACTCCCTGTCCCGATACAGCCGCTACATCTCCATCCTGGACGCCGACATGAAGACCCTGCGCTGCCCTCAGTACCGCGGCCAGCTCCTCGCCACCATGGCCGACCACCGCACCTACATCCGCCACGGCTCCACCTTCTTCCTCCACCTGCAGAGCACGCTCTGTCGCCTGGCAGCCCAGGCTTTCCTGCTCACCTTCACCCACCACCTCCACCTGCCCGTCAGCCCCACGGAGGGACCCGAGGCCGTGGAGTTCAGACGGCGGTGCTTCCTGCAGGAGCAGCTGGGGCTGGACGAGGAGGACAGCCACGTCCTGCTCTACCTCAGCCGGCTCATCACTCAGCGCTACCTGCAGCCCGCTAACATCAGCTGTTGTGCAGCTGTACCTTATTTCAGTTTCAACTACATCACCAGCATTTTATACAAAATCTGATGCTTGGGGTTCATTTGGACCATAAGATATTCTCCGTCTGCCTCACTGTGCTTCTCTCTAATCTCACACCTTCCTCTCTTTGCAGGGAAAAACAAAAAAACAAACAGCCAATAAGTGCTGACTGTCTCCGCGGTGTCCTCTTCTGGACACCTTCATATCCGAGCACCACCACCATGTAAATGAGACAGAAACAAAACACTCGCCTGCTGTAGCATACCGGGCTTCTGGTCCGGGGTTCAGCTTTTATATCCTTGCAAAAAACCTGTTTTTCAGCACCGCAAGGTTTTCTGTTCTCTGTTTTGGGACATAAGCACGTCGCAGCTTTTCAAAGCAGCGGTTCTCTTTGGAAACTAATTCCATCTGTCCCTTTTTTTTTTTCTCATCTTGTTGACAATTTTAGCTTTTGCGACCCATGTCCGTGTATAAAAAGGACAAGTGTCCTTTCTGTTCCAGACAGTAACATAATTTGGGGATTGTTAGTAAGGACATTTAACTTGTTTAAACCATTTTTTTTTTAATTATGTTTAGCCTCAGTTTGGATGAGAACCGGATCCTGAGAAGAATGATGTTGTCTATTAAACAGTTGGAACCAGAGATGCATTTTTTTTTTTTTTTTGGTATATTTAACAGTCAGGAAGAGTTTTAAATCTATTTAATCTAAAAATGTTTAATGAATTTCACTGTTGTCTTAAAGTTGTGTGAGAGTGACGTGTTTGTCTGCATGAGAGTCTTGTGTCAGGGTGATCACCGTGTTGATAACGCTTCAGGTTTGTTACAATAAGATTTTAAGAATACACTTTTATTTCTCGTGCCAACAGAAGCCTAAGTTTCACTTCGGATGCCTGCCTAACCTTTATTTATTAAACACAGATGCACAGATTGAGCTTTTAATGCTTGCTACGTATTTTTCCTTTTCCCTGAGCTCAGTAATGCTGTTTTTTTTCCCTTTTTTTTATATTTTCTTGTCTGACAGATATAACTCTTTAAAGAAAACAAAGGAATAACTAAATCTCTTCCCATAAATTAAATTAGAATATATTAACTATATTTTTTATGTTTTATATATGTCAAAGGGTAAAACTGATGCATTTCAAGCTTTTGTTTGTTAATTTGATGATTTTGATGAAAATTTTACTGTTTTATAAAATATAAGCAAAACAAATATTTTTTTTAAAGTAATTATGTGCATGGATGCAGTGTTGCCTCCTGTGGATTTGATAAGAATCTGGACCATAGCAGCAAATTGCCTTCCAACATCATCAGTCTGTGGAGCTTGTGTTCTGATTTCTTTTGGAATTTGATTAAAAAAAAAAAAAATCAAACATCATTCATGGAAACTAACTTCACGATCCCCTTAAAGGTATAGTGGAAGATGTTCTTTTCCCGGGTGGATCATCAGACTAAGGGATCCTCCTAATTGTCAATCATTCTGGTGATATGTGTACGTAAAGCCATCCAATGTGCTCGTCCCCATTTTCATTTACTGCCATGAGTCTGACATGGTGGAAAAATTGCAAATCTTCTTTTGGAAAGTAAGCTTGTATGAGCGATGCAAACAGCAACTTTTAAATAGAGCGTGCACAAGGAGAAATGGGCTTGTGCACGCTCTCGCATGCATTTAATAGGCACTCCCTCTCGGGATCGAGTACAGGGTTGTGCATGTGCATTTTTTTTTTTTTATTGGAAAGATATGGTGTTTTCATAAATTCATAAGAATCCTCCTCTATGCCTTTAAGCTAAAGGTTTGCTCTGTTGCTTTTGTGCATATTTTAAACCAGAGTTTTATCTTCCACTCTACTTTCCATTATTATTCAAAGGGGGAGCACTCTGACAGTTTTTTTTTCATGGTCAATAGCTGTCAGTCAATCCTCTCACAAGCATCAAAATTAACATAAAAAATCTGAAATGTTTTGCTCTCTATGGGAAAGATTAGATAAATTAACTACATTCCAGTTTATTGATTTACTTCTGCATGATGCCTATCTTTTTTGTTAAGTTACACTCTAAACATTTGCTGAAGTTTTTAGTATTTCTTCAACAGATTTATTCCTTCTTTAATATATTATATCTGCTGATCACTATTCGGAGCAAAAAAGGGGAACATCTCTGTTCGACCGTAGCAGCAAACCTGCTCTCCTTTCAAAGCTCCTGATTTAAGCCTGTGCTCATTTTGTCCAGTCTGTGATTGTGTAGATGGTATCGTCATGGCTGCATGGTCAGAGTTTGATCTCAAAGGTCAGACGCCAAGCGAGCCTTTTAACTCTGTGGATGATGTTTTGCCGCATGTGATGAAGTTTTGCACCTGATTTAATTTGCTTATAGTTGATGTAAAAAGGAAACCCTGAATGTAATCTGAAAAGCCATGCCGCTGTGTGCTCAACTCACCCAGTGTCCTTATGTTGCCATTTATATATGTCTGCTTTTTGTATCTCATCTACAGCAGGCGGCTGAGCTCATTCGGCCCTGCAGGAATTAGAATAAAGCACGTTTTGAATGTCCTGTTTGCCTCCATGTTGTGTGTTTTTTTTGTTTTGTTTTTTTTTTCGCCTTGATTTTGTGTTCAGATGAAGCAGCAGCTATACTTCCAGCAAACCTCCAGCCTCGTCTCTGTGTGACTCACTTCAGAGATGATGGATGTGCGAGCATCTGAGGTGCCATGAATAATAAATGCACATCTGTGAAACACTTCTAATTGCCCTGCTGGAGCAGCGGATGGAGAAGCATCTGATGGGAGAAGTCTGCTATGACATGATCTGTCCACAGATCGCTGAAGCGAGTGTGAATTTGCCTTTTGGTGGGGGGAAATTAAACTTTTGATAGTCTGGTGTTTGGGAAATGAGGTGCAGGAGCAGTCGGTGTTCGTTCTGGAGCAGCATCTTTTGAATCCACTGATGCACTTCATCTTTTTAACTTCCATGCAGGGGTCATTTTTTTTTGTAAATATGGGGAGTGGTGGCCTAGTGGTTAGGGTAGGGCATAGAGCTTAGAATCCTGAGGTTCTGAGTTTGAGCCCCACTTCCATAGACTGCCGCACTGGGTCTCTGAGCAAGACCCTTAACCCCACACTGCTCCCCGGGCACCCCGATGGCAGCCCACTGCTCCACAGGGTGATGGGTAAATACTTGTGATGGTGTAATGACCATAAGTTGGAAAAAAAAAAAAAAACATCCCGACGTTTGCAAAAAGCAAGAGAACTTATAGTGGGATGTGATTTAGAAAGGAAACATTTGCTTCCCTTTTAGTCCTTTGAATTTGAAATTTACTGACATCTGGATCAGCTATCGGCTCCAATATCGAATAATTCAGTTGATCGGTTATCTGTGTTTAGATATCAGAGATCCAATCCAGAGCACTTTACATGGACCCGTTATTTCTTTGTGTTGCTTATTTGTTAATAAATATTTTAAGGTACATTTACCTGCATTCATTTATTAAGTTAAGGCTAAAGCCTTCACTCACATGGTGAGATATGTGGATCATCCGTTCAATAGTTAAATCGATATCAGATATCAACTGAGATGAGCCCCGGTATTGGATTGGATAGAAAAATCTTTACCAGAATGGTCTTCTGGTTCTCAGCAGTCCAAGCTTATCCAAATTAGTCTGCTTTTTCTTTTTTTTTTTCTTTTTTTTTGTCAATAAAGCTAATTATTACACTCAGTTTTGTAGGATACTATTCACACCACTTGCATTTTATAAACATCTGTCCAAAATATTTTAGCTTTTTTGCTTAGATTGAAAACACCACTGTAATACAGTTTGAAAAATATGTATTAATCTTTGTTGATTATTTGATATTTATTTATTTATTACAACCTGTTCTATAGAGTAAAATCAATCAAATTGTTTTTTTTTGTTTGTTTGTTTATGAAGGTTTAATATTTGGAAAGTCTGGATTTTTTTTAAACTAATCTTTGGGCTTCCATAGCTGAGTGGCATCAGGTCATCACTTTTCATTCCTAAATGTTTACTTATAAGTGATTAACTAGCTCTATGTATGAAACTAGCTGCAAACATTTTGTTTGTTGTGTTTTTATTGTTTGTTATGAAACATGATTTTTTTCACAGCTGGAATTTTGTTGCCCTTTAAATTAAGGCCACCTCCCAAGAGGGGATGATGGAAAGCAAAGCTAGTTTGTGAAAGCACTACAGTTTATGTCATTTTTTTCTTTTTAATAGGAAACATAGTTGGGAGGGAAAAAATGTTGGATGTGTTGGGGGGGAAAAAAAATCTATTTGGATGTTTAAGAGCCCTAGCAGAGAGGTCCTCAACATGGGGCTCCCAACCCCCTAGTGTGCTGTGGAGATACTGCAAGGAGGTCTTGGAACTTTCTACAATAAATATATTATGTGTAATATTTGCAGACACCAGAATTTTCCATTAAAACCAGATACATTTGGAGTTTTTTTCATTTTCATGATTTTTTTTATATTTGCAGGGGAAAATTAACCTGCTGTGAACTTTCCTGGTTTAATCTCCGCATCAGTAGACCTCAACCAGCTGTTAAAAACTGTCACACTCACCTCAAAACTTACAGACTTAACGGAACGCAGTCCTTGTTCCATCTATTCCTCAGCCTGAAGTTCCAGAATAAAAACCCGTTAATGATTCCTGGCTTAGTGTGAAACTCTGCATACCTAGAGGGTGGCTGACTTCTGTTTTCCATCTTGTTCATCTGCATCACCAAACCCAGCTGCTGTGTTGAAGGTGGAGTTTGGATATTTAAATGGGGAACAACAGTTAGCAGAACACAATGAGGCAGATGCTTCTTTCTGCTGTTATACAAGACTGCTTTCAGCTCCATCTGGATGCTTCCAAGTTCTCACTCCATTTCAAAACTCAGCAGAAACAGATTTTTTTTTTAAGTCACTGCACAGGACTTGCATTGTCGACATTACCCGAACTGATTTGCTTTCTTTCACTAAATAAGTCAAAAATGTGCACTTTTCTTGGACTGTTTCCAATTTACATTTAAAATATGAAAAAAACAATTGCATAGTCCTATTTCATGTACATATCATCTAGTTATCTAATTTTAAGAGTAAAAAATCTAATTCCATTGGCAAATCATCTTATTTACTTACTCAATTTAAGGTTAAATACACTTAACTTGAGAAATTTTTACTTATTTCTAGATTGTTTTTGCAGTGTGTAGCTTGAAAACCTGGAAAGTACTTTTGAGTTTCCTTTCTGACATCTCATTGTTGCATGGTGGCGCAGTGGGTAGCACTGCCTAGGCTCTTTCAGCAATTCTCTCCATGCACATCTCCAGCTTCCTTTTCAAGGTTCAAAAACCTCTTTAAATTACCATTAAATCTCAGTATTTACATGCATGGTTGTGTTGTTCTGTACTTGAGTGGTGACCTGTCCACAGGCTGTAGCCCACCACTCGTCCTGAAACGATAAGCAGGTATAAACGGTGAACGGATGGACGTCCTAAAAACCCTGTTTATGAACACAGCTTAACTTAAGCTGTGAGTAGCTCCTGCTGTGAATTATGGGTCATGTAGTGCGACATTGGTGGTCCATCAATAATGCATACATGAACTTACCTCGTGGTCCAGATGTAGCCTGCAAGTAGAGTCGTCTGAGATAAATCAACACAAAGTAGGGCATAACTGTGATGCGGAATTTTTTTTACATAAAAAAAAACAGATTTAGAGGTGTGATGTTCATTCATATTAAGGTCCCCTTGGATTAACAGTTTTTCATGCATGAACTGAACCATTCATGGACGGGAGATTCTGGGTTTTACACATAATAAGACACCTTAAAAACAGCAGATAACACTGCTGGAGATGTCTGAGAGGTGAAACGCTGATAAACCGGCTGCTCTTCAGCACAAGTAAAGCTACTTTCAGATTATGAAAGGTTAAAAGAGACTAAATGAAATAATAAATGTACGTTTAAATGAATATGTGAATTGATCACTAGATTTGTGATTAAATATTTAAATTGACAGGTTGTTTCGGCTGGTTTTGTTAAGCAGCCAATCAGAAGTAAGGTTATGTTAAGAAATTAAATCATTTCTTTATTTTTTTTCTTTTCTCGCCTTCATATAAGAGCAGCTCCTTACTTAATGGACTGAAA